GAGCACAGTGACTCCGACCTTTAAAGGGCATTCGGTCTTCAGAGCCCGAACACAGCTAGGGGTGAAGGCACACTTCACTTGTTGCCTTTGTCTTAAGGTATTGATTTGCAGTGCTGAAATAGAGAAAAATGGCACAATCCCATCGGTGGTTGATATGGAGCCCTATGTATGACACGTCTTGGGAGGCATTGTGCCATCCACTTGCGGCCAGGGGCCCCTAGTAGCTTCCTGTTCCTAGTAGTAAGGCCAGGAGCCCCTAGCAGCTTCAAGCTCAAACTCCCTGAGCTGCGACCGAGGTGAAACACCCAACCCCTGAGCTGCGCAGCTTCCAACGCAGTCCGCATGGGACACCAGGATGAAGTTCCTCGGTGTGCCAAAGAGCGCGGGGCCCGAACCGGAACCTGCTCAACATGGCGGCGGCTTTCGGGCGAGAAGTGAATGACCATTCTCCACGGATTTCTTGAAGCTGGCATGGTGGAGGCCATCGCTCCATCCCGGGTTGGAGGCCATCGCATTTGAGGGCCTCCGAAAGCCAAGTTGGACCCCACGGCCTTCTGTCCTCCTTGGAAGAAAAGAAACATGAACAAACCACCCCAGACCATCCATGTCTGGTATATATGCCAGACAAACTCCACCTGATCGGTAACTAGGCCAGTCCCATGCCCAAAGAATCCCGGATGGAATATGTGCCTTAATCCACTCAATGGGTGATATGCTTTAGGTTGTTTTAAGGGTCAATGGGGTGGTAAATCTTCCAGTCCCATGATCGTTGTTTATAAAGCATGGATGCTAAACCATTGTAGGTGAATATACCTTGGGTCTATCCTATTACATAATAGTGATCATTGTCTACTGACTGTTGCAGGTAATGGGACCAACCCAAGACATACCATTGTCTCACAGTACACCCCACAAAAACAAAAACAAAAACGTCAACGATGCTTTCAATGGTCGAATGGAAGGCCCCCACGCTTCACTTCGCCGAGGAGCCGCCCCACCTGGTGCCCTCGCCGGAGATACTCCACGAAGCGGTTGGCGTAGCGCCGCCGCGCGCCGCGCATGGCCTCCGGCCAGGTCGGCCACTTGCCCAGGAGCCTGCGCACCTGACAGCGGAGCCGAGCTGAACAACCAGGAGTCGTTTCAATTGGCGAAGGCCATGAACGTCGCGGGGTCATGAAAAGCCAGAAACCCCAACAAACATCAATAGTTGCCAAGGATCTCAGGAATCACTGGTCGGACCTATGCCCAGAATGTTCTTCCTATTTCCATCTGCCTTAATCAGGTCTAATCAGTATGCTCACGCACTTTAAACTCTGTGGTTCTTGCCGGAGCTCTTTATCTCTAAATTCAGAGGCTCCCATCCGAGCTCATCCATCTCCAAGCTTCAGCGCGCCTCCAAGGTTTCTACCCCATGGGAGGAACAGAAGTCGACGCTCTGCTGCAGGGGCCGCACTGGCCTGGCTGATGCGAAAGCTGGGACCTCCTTGTCTATGCCAAAGGTCTATGCCCTCAGAATTGTTTTTTTTCAAAGTCAATCTACCAGAGCCCCCTAAGGGGTGTCCAATTATAGCTCCTTAGAGGTTAAGGGGTGTCCATTAACCACCCTTTGGGGGCCCTGGTACATGCTTTTGGGGGAGTGAAAAACCATGGGACCTTCCGTGTGGCTTCTCATTACACCCATTCTGGGATTCCTGCTGGTTCGAAATAGCCATGATCTATCATGATCTATAATTTTATAACACATGTGCTCGGACCGTTTGTGGGGGGGCCAGTCTAAGAGGTTCGTCTTTTAGATGGGTTTCACCTTTTTAGGGTTGTGATTTGAGTGTCACCATTTCCCGGATGTTTACCCCTTTGGTCTGCCTTGGTGCGCATCTCATGATGCAAATAGTAAACCTTTTTCAGCTGAAAAGATGCCCTTGGCCATTGTGCTGCGCTACTTTCATCGAACCGTTCAGCTCCACCAGGGAGGGCACGTGGGATGTCTTGACATGGAGGAGGGGTCCGGTGGTCAAGACCGGACCGAGCTTCCCAACGAAAGTCACTTCTGAAGTGTAAGTTCTCTTCCCTGGCTGTGATTCATTGATATACCATCTGTTTATATAACTGCTTCTGGTGCTTGGAACCAAGTTGGGCACTTCAGGGCAAAGAGTCTTCGAGACAACCACGGAAAAAAATCCCCCACCACTTCCATTCACCTTCCAACTTCGAGGTGCTTCTCGGGCTCCGGCTCTCCCATGATGCAGGGCCCATAGATCTCTCCCAAGGAGTTATCGATCAACAGCTTCGTCCGACCGAACTGCTGGCAAATCAACGCCGCGGTCTGCACGCAGCGCAAGAACGGCGAGGTCACCACCTCAACACCGATTCAAGGTCCAAAACGGGTGGAGAATCAAAAAGGGCTTATTTTCGAAGGGAACACCCCCCAACCACCTCAACACCGTGGTGAGTAGAGAACACCCCCAACCACCTCAACACCGTGGTGAGTAGCGAACACCCCCAACCAGCTCAACACCGTGGTGAGTCGTTGACTTCTTGGTCCACTAGAAATCGGTCCAAGTCTCCAGCGTCTCCAGCCCCACGCCCCTTCGGTGAGGCTGGAGACTTGGGCGAAGGAAGAACCTCCAAAGTCGGGTTGCCGTGGTGTTCGGGTCCGGGTCTGCGGTCGGGTATATCATCCGTTAACGGTTATGAGAAGGATTGAACATCCGTTGGACTCGAAAAACACGTCAAACGAACACTGGGTCTTTCACATCTGAGACACCACCGGATCCGAAAGCTCAGCAGCTGGGCCCGACGAGTCCACCTGGGTCCATGTGGGTGGTCTTTCCTTTCGCGTATTCCGTGGTCCACAGTTGGTCCCACACCGAAATGGCCTGCTGTTTTGGGCCATCCCACGGCCCGATGCCACGTCCCACGCACCGACCGGCGGTGTGTTGGAAGTCGCCCCCACCGGCGCCGTGTGGCGCCTTTGCTTTGGTTGCCCAGTTCGTGCATCCAGCCACCGTTCACCGCCCCACCGAGCGGCGACGTGAAGGTCGGCGTCCAAGTCCTGGAAGGTCTTCCGAAAGCGCCAACCCAACTCTTCAGCGCCGGCCAGGCCTGTGCCAGCGCGGTTGGAAGGGCGCTCCCAAAAAGGTGGAAGAACTCTAGAAAGACATCCATCAACTATGCCAGTTGGGTACCTCAGGCTTTCCGGGTCCCACTTCAGGTGGTCAAACCTCAGGGGGAGCGCTACCAGAAGCAGTGAAGTTGGCAGAACGGCCACGCCAAAACGGGACGGAATGGGACCGCCCACGTGACCTGCATCGCTCAACGGTGGGTCGTAGGGCCAATGCTTGGAGTCCTGCATCAAGCACCTCGGACGGAAGCTCTGAGCCTGGATGATGGATCCCTATCCCCGTGATGCGCACCAGCACCAGGAGGCACGTGCCGCGAAGTCCATTGCCCGTTGAACGGTGACGAAAGATCAGATTTCGGGGCGCTTTTCGGGGCGTAGACTGAAGTCGTCTTCGGTGGGTCAAAGGACCTGCTGAAAGATCTTTGGAAAAAACCATCTCTTCCGGGATTTGGAAGGTTGAAGCAAACATCTACGTTGACTGAAAGGCCCTACCTACCAGGTCTCCCAGTCTCCGAGGGGGGTCGGGCCATGGGGAGCCTCGCTCGCGTCCACGTCCTTCCAAGTGGCCATGGCAAGCCCTTCACCAATGCCCCGACGTCGTCCGCGCGCTCGGCGTGCCGCACCACTGCTGCGAAGCGGAAGTCCGCATCGTCGTCCATGGCACGGCAAGCGGTTGGTAGGTTGGGTGCGTGGTCTGTAGGTTTCTAGCTGGCTATATGCATTAATAGTGATTGTGTGTGGGCAAGGACGTCGTTTTGACAACTTCAACCTGGAAGACCCCTGACACTGTTGCAGTACAGCTCTTTAGTCCAGCAAAATGTCCTGTACTAGGCGCAGGGAAATCAAGAGTGTATCGTGATCAAAACGGTTTTCCATCTTCCATCTGCCTCTCAAAAACCCATCGACCCGGACTCCGCATGGGCACCGGACTTCGGGTGGGCCGAAGAAAAGCTGCGCCACCGCAGCTTTAACATATGAAAAACACGGATCCGACCGATCGACGGCGCATCTGAAAAAAAATACCGAAAAAGTCCACCTCCTGTCTTTGGCGGGTTTTGTTGTGATTCGTTTGTTGTTGTCTTTTGGGTGTTTTCAGTTCCGTGTCATGACAACGCCCATGAGAACATGCGGCTCAAGGTTGCACGCTCCATGTTGCGCTCTATATGCATGTAGAAACTTGAGCGTTGCCTCTCCACTTCTGCCACTTCACATCTTTCACCGAGGCTCTAGACTCGCCTCCCAAACCCCTCCCCCGTTGCCCTCGCCGCTCGCTCGCTTCGCCGGACAGGGTGCCGAGTGCAGCCGCTGCGACCTCGGTCGCAGAGAACTCGGGGGCTCGCCCTTGTTCGACTCCGTTCGCTTGAGGACTTGTGGAGCACGTGAAAACACGAACATGAAGGGTGCTTGGGGATTGAAACGGCTGGAGCCAGGGTCTTTCTTCAGTCCCTATACGGCCGCATTTTTGCGTTCCTGCGTTCCACATGTTGTTCCACCTGATCGCATTATTGAGGGTGAAGTTCTTCACAATCCCTACAGTAGGGCCTAGGGGCTCTCTTGGCGTGGCTTCGCAGTCCGTTTGGAAGCGCCACCAGGGCGATGGGGACGGGATGGCAAGGATAGAGTGGTCTTCTAGCAGCCGTTGGCATCTGAAGAAATGGAACCTATATACCCCCCCTCCACTACCCCTTCATAAAGAACAACATAGGTGTGGTGTACCCTGGAGGTAACACAACAAACCATCGCTGGCACTTGCTATCCTCGAAGCCGAAACCATGGAGGGATAGTTGGCTCGGGCCTTTTTTCAGCTCCATCTTCCCGCAACAACTTCCAAGTGGCCATCGAATAGCAAGTGGCTTGTGAGCTCCACACCCCGCCCCGCCGCGAGCGCCCCGGGTGGGCGCACCCAGGAAGCGGCTGTGGTGGTTCGGTGCTCTTGCGCTTCCTGGAGGCTGGCTACGGCTTAGCATATACTTTAGATGTTTTTAAAGGCTCTGAGGTTCCAGGCATCCCCTGCACACCTCTAACATTCTTAGGTTGTTTCCAAAATTGTTTAATTGTTTCTAAAATTGTTCCTAAAATTGTTTTAATTGTTTGTAAAGTTGTTCTAAAATTGTTTTAATTGTTTGTAAAATTGTTCTAAAATTGTTTAATTGTTTCTAAAATTGTTTCTAAAGTTATTTTAATTGTTTGTAACATTGTTCGAACATTGTTTAATTGTTTCTAAAATTGTTTCTAAAATTGTTTAATTGTTTCTAAAGTTGTTCTAAAGTTATTTAATTGTTTCTAAAATTGTTTCTAAACTTGCTTAAGTGTTTCACAAACTGTTTCTAAAATTGTTTGATTGTTTCAAGCATCGTTTGTAGCATTGGAAAGATCGTCAAATTGCCACTTAAATTGTGAAATCAGTTGGATCATTTGGATATATAGCGGTTTGTAAGTTTGAAATACTTGTCGTTATTGTTTGAACATGTGGAGAAAGCATGCTTTGCAAACATGACCGAATCAGCGAACGGCGCCAATCAGCGAACGCACTTTTTCATTCAAACTGGCGGCCAGCAAGTCATCAAGCAAAACCTTAGCCTTAGCCCATCTCCCTACCTGGCCAGTGGCCTTGGCTGCCGTTTCTTCAACAAAGCCAGTGCAGCCATGGAATCTCCACTACCTGGCCAGTGGCCTTGGCTGCCGTTGCTTCAACAAAGCCACTGCAGCCAAGGCAGTTGCCACATCTTCTGAGCCGGGATCACTTGCATCGTCCCGTCGAGGAATCCATGGGAGGGACGCGACCCCAGCTTGGAAAATAGCCATAGCCACTGGGAGCGCCATGGCGTTGCCGGCAAGGTCTTGGAGGAAAGAATGAGAAGAGCAAGCAGCAGGCAGGCTGCATTTATCTTGAAGGTCTTGGAGGAGCGAAATGGGAAAGCCTTGAAACATCAGAGCTTCCTCACCTACCATGAGCCGCTGGCGCGACTCCATCCACAGCTGCGGCCCTGGCAGCATGGTCGGCGCCAGCTGTTTGGGGCTACATTCTCTTTGCCAGCTGACAAAGCCTCCACGTCCAAAGCCTTGACAGCTCTCAGGTTCAGGAGAATACGGCTTTCAATCTCTGCCAAGACAAACTCACCAAGTTGCTCTGACCCTATGGCAGCTTGCAAGCTCTTCATAGAAGGCTTGCTCAGCAGGACTGCTCATAAAACTTGTCATACTCACTGTAGAGGCAATTCTGAGCAGCTTTGGCCAAAGCTAGCCTCAAAGTATAGCAGGTTCCCAAAGATTCAACGCCCAACAGTTCCAGGTGCTTGCTGCTCTCCTCAACAGACGTGACCACAGACTCTGGAGAAGAAGTTGGGCTTGATACTGCTGTGAACAGGTTCTGGAAAGCCAAAGCTGCTGCCTCTAGGGAGTCGAGGTCTTTGAGTTCATTGTCGAACAAGTCCCTGTTGGAGCTTTTGTCCATTCGCTTGCTGTGTTCCCTGGCCTGTCTGCCAATGGACTTGACTTCAGCAATTCGATCGGCACAGCTCTGCTTGAAGGTAGCTTGGGAGTGGGCGTCAGGCTCTGGCACTGCGTCATCGACCTTCACCTTTGCCAACTTGGACTTCAGTTCAACAACTTTGTCCTGCAGGTTGCGCAAGGCCCCTTTGGGCTCGCCCATCTGCAAGCAGTGTGTTTCCACTGTCCTGGCTGCCCTGCTTCCCAAAGCCTGTTGATGATGACGACGCCTTCCCTTTGGCATCACGACCTCTTGGGCCAGGCTGTTGCGATCCTGGCCTGTGGCCGCTGTTGAAGGCCTGCTGGTTGAGGGCTTGCTGCTGGCTGTGGCTGGATTGCTGGCTTGCTGCTCGCCGCGTCTACCTGGCTTCTTCTTTGCGTCAAGGTTTGCTGGAGCCTGATGTTGTTTTGGTTTGCTGGGGCCAAAAAAGGAAGCAGACAATCCATTTTTTTTCTGATCCACTGCTGCTTTTAGTGCCTTCTGAGCTTGAGTCATCCTGACTGTCTTCGACTGCTGCCTGGTGAGCGGCCGCAAGGTTTGATTTGGGCGAACTCGGCTGGTAGCCTCCCTGGCGCAAGGCGTCGAGGACTCCTTCCAGACTGAGCTCAGAGCCTTTGCTTTCCACTGCCATTTTGTCTCGCTGCAGGGACCCTTGATTGATCTGCTCCAAAGCTGCTTTCCTCTTCCTAGCAAGGCCTTCGTCTAAGCCTGTGCGACTGTCGTGAACCAACTCAGACTCCTGCAGGGCTGAGTCCTGGTACTCTTCGTAGTCATACACACCCTTCTTGCCAGCATGAATCCAAATTCCTTTCACATCTCTACCCCAGAGGCGCTCTATCACTTCCTTGGTGGAGTCGTAGTCCCCATACTGTTGGGAGTCCCATGCCTCCTGAGTAACAAACTGTTTCTTGGGGGCGATAAATTTGCCACCTGTGCTTCTGGTCATCTGCATTTGCTTCAAGGCTTCCTGGAGCTCCTTCTTGCTCTGAAGGCGTTTGCGAGTGGGCCCGCCTTCATTGTGCTGTCGGACCCAGGCTTTGCGGGAGGCTAGAAACCCTCTATGATCATTCTGGTTTGCCTTCTTCGACACGTGCTTGTAGTAGTCATCCACGCTCTTATGCTCCTTGTGAAGGCCTTAGGACTGGGGGCCTGCTGCCTTTTTGGCCTGCTTGCCTTAGGACTGGGGGGCCTACTCAAATGCCTTGGGCAAAGGCACAGGTTGCTTTAAAAAACGGTGGGGGCTTTAAGCAACCTTAGCCAGGATACCCAGGGCCCGATATACGTTAAAACATATCAGGCACAGCCTGCCACTTGGAACGCGGACAGTCTCCCCAGAGTCTTCCTCTTTCGCTTTCTCGTAGCTGCGCCAAGGCAGGCGTCCTTCCATCTCAGGGAAGATCTCATCAGTGGGGTACTCTAAGGGGGACTCGTCAGTGGAGCGGCCATTGCACAACTGGCAGCAACGTGGCTTCCGCAAGGTCAAGCTAATGCGGGCAAGGCCACATGCCTTGGAAGCTGCTGTTGAGGCTCGCCCACTCCTGGCCTGTGGCCTTGGCAACCCGGCCTGTGGCCGAGGACTGTCTACACAGGCGTCTTCAGCAGCTGGCTGTTCACTCTCGGCACTTTCAGAACTCTCTGAAGTGCTCGCCATGGCTGGCCAAGGGCCAAGGCTTGTCAAAAGGCTGGTGGCCACTTGAGTGAGAGCGATTGCACAAATTGCAGAAAATATGTCTAAAACATTCAAACAATATCGCAAACAATTGCGAAAACAATGTAAGAATGTGATGTGTACGGAAAACCATGAGTTGTGTACGGAAAACAATGAGTTGTGTACGGAAAACCATGAGTTGTGTACGGATCTAAAATTGTTACATTGTTTCTAAAATTGATATGAAATTTTTCGAAATGTTTCCAACATTCTAACAAATCTTTGTGACGTTTGGCTTGTGACTTTTGGAAGCCAACCGCTGACACTGACAGGTGGCCCTCGCTTTTTGAAACCACTCGCCCAATCAAGCTACATGGCCCACAAGGGCGTCCAAGGCTTCTGAATCCAGGCCATCTGCAAATTGGGCCAGCTGGATCCCACCCATGCTAACGTGGCAATCGCGCTTGTTGCTCCCCCAAGACGTCGCATCAAGACCACTTACCAACCACCTTTTCAGTCTGAGTTGACACTCAGCGTCTGACAGGCCAGACTTTGACATAGCCTTTTTGCACTGTAGGCCAGGGCGGTTGGTGTCTGTGTGGCGCCCACAAATAGCACCCCATCCTGTGGGCTCTTTGCTCCCAGCTGCGTGGATTGGTGCGATTTGAAAGGATGGGTTAGTGCCCCAAACACTAGCACGTCGAACATTATGCCTGACTTTGGGCCTTGGCGCGGCCAGTGGCCCAAGTGCTGGCTCAGAAGGCATGGCTGAGCCAGTCTCTCTCTCTCTACTTCAGTCGACCTGGCCGGTGGCCCGAGCCCTGGCTCAGAAGGTTTCGCCTCTGGCGCAGCCTCAAGCTCATTGTCAGTATCTGAGTCAGACTGAGAAGACCCACCGTGACTTGGGCTAGGGGACATGTCTCGTCTGGCCATCTTAGCGAAACTGCTGGCCAGGCTGGAGCGCGCTGCCCTTTTTTTTTCGGAAGTGGCTTTTTGTTCAAAGCTTTCAAGGCGGACATGGCCAGCTTTAGCTTTTTCTCCTCATCCATTGTCCTTTCAAGCGACTTGCGCTCGACCGCCCCCCTTCCATAAAATGTCAAAATGGCTCAGTCGCTTGACAGGGCCAACGCCAAGCACTGAAATGCGCCAGTCCTCTGCTTTGGTGGCGCAGTGAACGCACACCTGGACATCGCTCTTCAGGGTTAGATGTCCATCAAGGCTCTTCTCGCAAGCCAACACTTGGCAGATGTCTGGGGGGGCAGAATCATCATCTAGCTCTTTCAACTCTAAGAGCGCTGCCTGGATAGGTTTTTTCCTTGTAGAGTAAGCAACGGCCACATGGTACGGAAGAGCTGTTGGCGACCTAAACTCTAACACCAATGGCTCCTCTGAAAGAGCAGTTGGTTTGGGACCCTTTCGTAGAGTCACTTCAAGGGAAAAAGCATGCAACCGCTGGAAATACGCAAAGGCTTGCGGGGTCAAACAATGTGGGCAGGAATCTGGACGGCACACAGGCCACAGCGGCGCCCGCAGCAAAGGAGCGCCGTCCATGCTGTCTGGACTTTCAGGCCGCAAACTGCGGCTGAAGCTTGTAAATTCTGTGCCCGTGAACCTGGCCTGAGGCCGAATAAAACCTGGCCTGAGGCCAACGCCAACATGAATTGAGTGTTCAGTTGCCTGCATCATCAGCAGACATGAACCCCTCAGAGGCATCACTATATGATGCCTCTATGCGGGAGCGCAGGGGGCTGAAACGCTCACAAAAGAAGTAGCACACAGTGCACCAGCCAATCAGCGCAAACACACATAGAGCTGCAAACCATGGCGTCTCCAAGCAAATGCACTTGCACATTGCAAAAGCATAGCGGTGGTCATGAAAACACATTGGATTGAAATCCTGAATGTCCAGTGTGGGAACATACCTGACCTCTTCTGCCATGGAAGAAAACACATCCTGTCGTGGTTCTAATACCCTTCTTGGACCAGAGTCTAGAAGCGGTAGCACAGCAGCAACAAAACACACAAATGCAAACAACTTTCAATAAATTGTTTCCACAAAAGAAAACAATTAAAACAATTGTCAGAACAATTGTTGAAACAATTTCCGACCTCAAAAGAATATGTCGCTTGTTTTTTGGGCGTCCCCATCACCGGAGGTTTTGAAAACATTTAACGAGTAAGGTTTCCTCGTTCTGGATGAGCTCTTTCAGCTGCAAGCTGAAATTATCCAAGCAACAATCCCTCTCACCAAAGAATTGGCGCGCCTTTTCTTGTTGGAGTTCCGGGCTCAAGGCTGGCAACTCGGCCAGTGGCCATGGGTAGCGGCCCCAAGGCTCAAGAAGCTTCCGCCAAAGCTGGCCCAAAATTGTTAGAAGACAACGCCTGGTTGTGCGCAATCTTTCTGCTCTCCAAGTCAGCACAGGACCATAAAGCCCAACCAGTGGAATCCAAGCTGGAACCTGGACAGTGTCTGCTGTTTCAAGAAGCAGGTCACACAGCTCCAAGCTGGCAGCACTTGCAACACTGCGAAAAGAAGCCGCCAACAATCGGAGCAAAGCAGCGCGGCTTTTGTGCCTGAAGCTCGGACCAGGCCCGTGGCCGCTCGGACGAGGCCTGTGGCCGCTCTGGGCACGTCTGGGCACACAAGGCCTGTGGCCACCCCCATATCGCCTAGCAATGTCAGCAAGCTGATCAGCATTCATCACTTCTTTGGCTCTTTGGGTGGGGTGAAATCCACTGGGCCCAACCTTTGCCTCTTGGCCTTAGGCTCTGGCGAGGGAGTGCCCAAGAAGTCACATTCGCAATCCCGAGCCAGTAGGTGTGTCCGCGCTGCATCACTTGGCTGCAGGTAGGGTGTAAACATGTCCATCAAGCAGAACCAACAATACAAGTATGTCATGGCAACGTTGCGGCGCGCTTGGGCTGTTGTGGCTTGAAAGCTTGGTGGCAGCATGGAGTGTTCAAATCGTTGAAGTGAAGAGGTTTTCAGAGGCGAGCAAACTGTTTACTAGCCTATGACTAAGGAACAAACTGTTTGAACAAACAAAAAGTCTACAGCAACCTTTTTCTCAAGGTTCAATACATCATATGTTTCAAACAGTTTAACAATGTTGTATACAATGTTATAAACAATGTTTCGAACGAAAACAATGTTATAAACAAAGTTTTGAACAATGTAACAATGTTATAAACAATGCTTTAAACAATATAACAATCTTTTAAACAATGTAACAATGTTATAAACAATGTTTTAAACAATATAACAATGTTTTAAACAATGTTATAAACAATACAACAATGTTGTAAACAATGTTTTAAACAATATAACAATATTATAAACAATGTTTTAAACAATACAACAATGTTATAAACAATGTTTTAAACAATATAACAATATTATAAACAATGTTTGAAACAATATAACAATGTTATAAACAATGTTTTAAACAATTAAACAATTGCAAAAACAATGTAAGAATGTTTCGCTTGGTTTTCAAAGTGTTCCCGACACAGTGGGTTCTGAGAACATCTAACATATACTTATCAATTGAGCAAAAGGGTGCTGAGAGTGTTCTTTCGCCTGCTTTTTGGTCGTTTCCCACCTGGAGAATTGGCCAAGAAGTGGTCGTGGCGGTGGCTCAAACGAGCTTCGAGGAGCTGCCATCGCTGGTGGCCACCAAGCTTCGAGAGACAACCCAGGTCTTCGGGGAGGTGGCGCCTCAGAGTCGCAAACATGCAAAGCCAAGCAGCCCTCTTTCAGGGTCAAAGGGGTTGCCCCTACCAGGACCCTCCAAGGGGTGTCTATTTATAGCCCCTTAGCTGTTAAGGGGTGTCCATTAACCACCCCTTGAAGGCCCTGGTATAGAGCCTTTAGAGGTTAGGAATTAATTTCATTGAGGAGTTGGTCATATTTAAGAACACGACTCGACTCGGGTGTCGAACGGACCAGGAAAGGAAGCAGTTCCGTGGCAGATGCTATGGGTTTAAAGGTCTTTGAGGTCCTTGACATGGCCGAAAAAGGGCCCCCCCCACTTCCCACAAAGCCTGCTTCCCTCCCAAGTTCTCTCCGAGCCACGCCCAGTGCAGTCCACAGGCGCCACAGCTAAGCTTATTTGCCTCACTGCCACGCCAAAGCCCTACCGCCTGCCAGTCCTATTGATGGAAAAATCCCAGGTGACTGCAGCAAATGCTATGAAAACGTCTGAAAACACGTTGCCAAATTGCCAACACCTAGCCCAAAAGAAGACCATATATGCATAGAGGGGGAAAACGTCGAATGAAGGCCACCATGAAACATCTCGGAACGAACATGCACACCAAAAAGAGGAAAGGCTTTTGAAAGGTCAAGATGCCTACAGGTCAATCAACAAAAAACTGCTTGGCACACGATGTGCGAAGCCTTCGCAGGAGTGACTTCCGGAATTCAGCGACTCGCTAAGTGACTCGGAAAGTGGTCTTTCACTGCCGCCCCAGGCAATTTGACACCAGGCAGCTTGAGGACCTGGAGTTCCACGCCCTTCGGACTGCGCCCGGGCCACCCGTGGAAGCCTTGGAGGCGTCCCTGCAGTCCCATGGCTATGGCTGACTCAAAGACAGATGGGGTTGAGGATTAACGATTTTCAGAAGAAGATTTAACAAAAAATATGTTTTTTTGCCGCTGTTTGCTACTTGCTTCATTCATCTGGTGTGTTCTTTCATGGTGTGTTCTCTTGGCGCCTCACGTCAAGAAGCTTTGCATCAACCAAGCCATCCTCGTTTCTGAAGAACCGACACCAATCAGCTGTCCCATGATCCATGACGATGATTCATTACAGTAACATCCATGTTAATCCTACACCCATCCGTCCCCATTCCGTCCACATCAAACCACCTCCGTCCCTCCATCCCACCTGCTTTTGCTTCTTGGATCCAAACATCACACGCCTCTCAACACGCCAGGGGGCTCAAGGCGCACGCCACGGCCTCCTTCGCACTCTCCGTCGCCAGCACCGCCTCCCCGGTGCTCAGTGAAGCTACCTGAGACGGGCGAGGTCCCTTCGCCCGGGTCCCGAGCCCGCGGTAGCTGGGCCTTCCCTACAGCGCCTGCCATGGCCTTCCGGACAAGGCGACAAACTCTCAGACTTTGGTCCTCAACCTGCACTCCCCCAGCTCACATGGACCCTAAGGAATCGCAATGTGGGTCCATGTGACATCCATGGGGTAAGCTTGTTGAATGGAATCTGAGCGGAGCGACCTCGAGGGAAGCTGCGCCAGTTGGGTGTTTGATCGAGGGAAGCTGCTGGGATGTCCCAACTGGTTTCCCCTGACCTCCAATCAATCAATTAGTCTAATTCAACGATTATGCGATTCATGTGCAATTCAATTCACTTCAAATCAGTCAATGAACAAAACACGTGCTTCGCGTAGTATGCCAAAATTTTGAGAAACGGCTTCATGCAATGCTCTAATCAAGGATCCATTGTCCACAATGAAAAGCGCTCTCTCAGAAGACTGGCCAACTCCGCATTGGTTGAGGGTGTTTGCTTCTGTTCATCTGTTCACGCAACTGGGTAACTATGTAAACTAAACAGTGACATGACAAACCCGTCAAGACAATGTGGGCGCACATCTAACCAGTTTTCGGGAAGGAAGCGAGAACCCTCCTTTTTGGTGATGCCACTTGGGTGATTATGATGATTTTGGTGATGGCACCCGCAAACCAACATCCACAACTATCAGCAAGTCCCAGGTCGGTTCCACCAAAAGCGTGTCTGGCCCAGGCGCGAACCGCACACCAAAGCGTCCAAAGGCGGTCTCCAGCTCGCAGGCATTCAACGTCGAGGTTCGTGCGTCGAGACGATCGTCTGTGGGAGACCGGAAGGTCAGCCGCACGTAGGCACCGCCCACCTGAGCAATTGAGGGAAGCTGGAAGCTGCAGAAGAGAGGTTGAGGGTATGTCTCGAGCTCGGAGAGAGTGCCCTTCCTTGGGATGCAAGAGGCAAGGACGTTACGAACGGGGCTCCTGGCATCGCTACGAACGGAGCAAAAAGCTACGAACGGAGCAAAGGGCATCGCTACGAACGGGGCAAAGACGCTACGAACGGGGCTCCTGGCATGGTCTTACGGAGAAATCGTTGGTTCGAGGACTTCAAAAACCTCAGCAGTCCCAGCCGATGATCTGATGATGCACTCACTCTCAAAGGAGCCTGGCTTTTGCTTCTCTTCCTGTTGGTCCATGAGCTCTTTCTAGGGGCCGAGCTGGTCTGCTGTCCATACCACACTCATCCTTTCATATCCTTTCCACCCCTTACTGGATGAAAAGCGGTGGCTGAAGGAAAGAACATGAAAGAACCGGAACGAACCTGTTGGCGAGCGTTGGGTGTTTCCAAGTCGGCCCGCCACAGTCGATCCCATTCAATCAATCTTGGCCACCAGCCTTACATGGGACATGGTGCCTACAGAGGTTAAGTGACCTGAACTAGGACCCTACAGGGGTACCTATAGGATAGTCTATTCTTCAACCTCTGCTGGTGGGACAAGACCACCAACCTTTGGCATCGGTTCTTTGCCTTCCCACGGCCGCCGCACCCGGATCCCGACCTCCTCGGCCGCGAAGTGCGCCCGCGCTTCGGCGCGCTGCCGCGCCGCTTGCCGCAAGCCACAGCGGGCCGAAGGGGACACATGGTCCACGGGCCGGGCTTTCTTGGCCCTGAAGGGGCTGCTTCAAATCCAGTGATGCATGTGGCTAAGAAGGAGCTGTAGAAACCTGTTGAGAGCTACTAAGTTTGGACAAGCGGATTTAGGTTTGCTAGCTGCTAGCTTTGAGGTCGTCAACTCTTGGGGCTGGGGCGATGGAAAAAAGAAACCACCAACTATCCATTGAATCCACACACCTTCTTTTTTTACAAACAAACAAACCAAGCAACCAACGGACGGACGGAACGGAATGGAATGGAACGGAACGGAACCGAACCGAACCGAACCGCACCAGACCAGACCAGACCAGACCAGACCAAACCAACAAACAAACACTCTTCTTAGATCTGAACCCATCTCCAGCCTGGTCTTGCTGGGCTTGGCTTCCTCATCTGAATCTAGGATCACCAGCGCAGTTTCAGCTTCGTCGTCCAGCTCCACCACCTCATTCAAAAGAGCAAACATGCCGATATTTGAAGAAAAGACTCTTAAACAAGTCATCAACTTGATCCTCTTCTTTGCTTTATGAGAAGCACTCATCCCACACAGTAGTCTGCAGTGGGTAAAACAATCGCAAATGACAAACAAACCTCCGCAAAAACCAGGAGAAAAGAACATGTTCTGGCATCCTTCCACGCTCTTCCATGTCCTACCCATCGTCTCCTACCGTTCAAAGACGTATACGTACTTCTAAAATCCCCGGCATTCCCTGGCCTCCACTGGTGGCGCCGGCTCCGCCTTCTTCGCCGCCTTCTTCGGCTTCACCTTCTTTGCCTTCACCTTCGCCTTCCGCGGCTGCTTCTTCACCGGCCGCCCGGCTCGCTGGCTCGGGCGGAACGGCGCGGAGATCACGGTCCTGGGCCGCTCGGTCGGGGCCGTTTTTCGCCCGGAGCCAAGGAGTTCCGTCGCTCGACATGTTAGTCTGGCAGCCACCATCACAGCTAAGATATATAAGATTTGAGAAATATTAAGAAATGTATAGACCATACAATACATTGGAATATCACGACTCTACATGATTGTGGATATATAGCAAAGACTGTAGCAAAGAAATCAAAAAATATTAAGTCATTAAGTATGAAACTTCCTTTCAATTCGTCAAACTCGCTATATCTCCTTTCCAAGGCCCGTCGCTGACCGGCGGCGAGCAGTTCATAAGCTGCCTTGATCCGCTGGAAGCGTGCCGTGCTCAGGTGCGCGGGGACGCTGTGGTCCTTGTCCGGGTGGTAGCCTGAGGGGCGCGGTCTCGAGCGTCCAAAATGGCTCCACTGGGTGACCCCATCCACTCATTCAGTTTGGATGCGTGATGATGTGTCTAAAGACGAAAGCTCACGTCTTGATACTTGAGGCCGAGGGTTGGTGACGAAAGCACACGTCCCAGAGACCTCCCTATAAGGAGTTGAACCTGTGTGACGTGGGGGGGCCGTAGATATGAAGTTTTAACGCGATGCGGCACTCTCCAGGAGTCCACCCCCTCACTTGCTGCAAGAACAACTCCAGCTAGCTGGTTTCGTGATTAGGATTATGAAGAAGGGTAAGTGTCAGTGCCATCCTTGAGGCCGTTAGTGCCCCACAATGATCCCAGTCCGGTCGTCCGGCTTGTGGGTGCACCGGTCGGGCAAGCCACAACTGGTGTTCACCCAGTCCGCACACGGCCGAATGGCATTCTCGGTAGGCCGGAGGCTTCCAGGTATTCATCAACTTTCACATATCAGGGCCTTTAAGGGGGTGGTTAATGAATACCCCTGAACCTCTAAGGAGCTATAATTAGACACCCCTGGTATAGGTCCTTGAACACGATGTTGGCAAAAGGCTTAAAAAGATTGCTTAAAAAGATTTAAAACGATGCCGCCGGGCACCGTCCATCCTCCCTTTACCGCTCCGGGAAGCGCCGCGACAGGGCGTGGTAGGCCCTTTTGACCTGTTCCTCACTGGCATTCCGCTTGAGGCCCAGCACCACATAGGGGTCCTCCGCAACGGTGCTAAAACATCGATTTCTTTGCCCTGATGCCTGGCCTGTCCCTGAGTCCACGCGAAATAGAACATCGTTCCACTTTTGGCGCACATGCGTCGTCAGCCTACCAGCCGATACAGGGATGGGAGGGCGCCGCTAGGAATCTTATGCCTCCCTCACTCCCCCCAAACCAAAAATCCTGAACATGACCACCCACGTCAGGAGGACTCCCAAAACACAAATGTTCCATCTCCAACCCAAAATCTTGCCCAAAACCCCTCTTCAGATGATTAGATTGCCCCAAAATATCTTCATCTTCATCTCCAAAACTCCCGTGGTGCACGTCCTGGACCGACGCGCGGCCTAAGAAGTTGCCCCGCCACGCGGCTGGGCCCCCCATCGTCGCACATGAACCCGGATGGCTCTGGGCCGGCGGGCCTTCTTTCCGGCGCTTGCAACGCACTTGAAAGACATAGTAGTGGCTTTAATCATCCATAATCATCCCAAGTAAAGGTTGACCAAAAATATCCAGTTCCATTTTGGCTCCTTGTTGAGGTGCTTTTCATGATGGAGTCAGTCTGAGCCATTGGGAGTTGCCTGTATATGTGCACTCAGCGGCTTTGCGGGACATTTCTTGTGAGCTGCGACCTGCAGGATTGATGGAAAAACATCTCTAAGATGCTCTGAGTCTCTACAGTTTAGTAACTCAGGCTTTGTATAGTAGAAGTCTTTGGCAAACATGTTGAACTTCTACCTTGTCCAAGTATCAAGGCTTCCATCGTTACGGAGGAGTCCAAATCAAATGACCAGCGAGCTGGTCGCTTTCCTTGAGCCAGCGCAGCTCCTCATTGTTCAAGGATCACTCAGTGCGACTGATGCTGCACACTTGTTCTTGATGTAACGCTGAGCGCTGACAAGTTCCAAAGCATCAATCCGGCCACGTCCGGCCACCGTTATCCTTGGCAATCATGTCAATATTCTCTGACCTCCATGCTGTGTGCAATGGATGCCTCCATCCAAGAAATGTCAAACACAAGCATCACTACGGGTCATGGGCCGCTTTCCCATTTCTGCGCGCATACGCCCCGCGCGGCCGCGCATACGCGTGGCTCACGATGTCGTCTCCGAGATCCGTGGATGGCGCGCGGGTCCGCGGCTGTCGCACGACACCTGTCAAGCGCATCACACCGAGCCGATCGGGCACAAGTTGATCATCGAATCGAAAAAATGACCCAATATGCTTAGCAAATAGACGTTACAAACGTAACAAAATCATCAAACATCATCTTCAAACTCTTCAATAGTCGATCATTTTGTGACGTTACAAAATGCATGTAGACCCTTGAGGACCATATACCACCCCATTTGAATGGAAAATCCTCTTCAAAGGAGTGTTTCATGAATCAAGAATTTTAAAAAAAAAAAAAAAACCTGTTCCAAGCGTCTTTTCCCCTCTCTGGTCCTTTTTTGCGGGATCACTGATACCTAATCCAATCCATTCCAAAACCATCCAAAACCGTTCTCCTCGCCTCAACCCCGTCCCCTCCTTGGCGTCCACTCCCTTCGCCTCGTTTTTCAATCCCTTCACCTCGGCGGCCGCTTCCACCCGGACGAAGCCGCGAAACCCGGCCGAGCCAAACAGGGGAAGAGGGTGATGAACATGTTTAAACCAACTTGAAGACATGTCATGCGTGTCCGTCATGTGGAAAAGGAAAGAACTAATTAAAGGGATGAGGATATGTGAGCAGGTTAGGGACGCTTCCCATGGAAATTTGAAAGGTACATGAGAGCCCAGATTTCTGGATGAGCCGAGTTGCTGAGATGTCATTGTCTAATGCAACACATCAAGCGCACGTCGACCCACTTCATGCTAGCTGGTGGCCGTTCAACTCTTGGAATCTCATGGGCGCGCCTTCAGGTCGGCAGTCGGAGCTCCTCACCGTGAAGGCCACGGAGCAACTGCGCCACCACGGCGGCGGCCAACTTGGTGTGGCGGTACATGCCTCGGGTTTCGCTCGCGGCCAGGTGGCTTCGGGGTACCTGAAGGACCGGACCGGACTGCGTGGTGCTGGTGCTGCGGACGTGAGACATGGAGGTGATATATGGACTACCTACCAGCACCGGACGATAAACAGGTCTCCGTTCCATGGTGGCTGAAATGGAAAACATCAAAGTTGCAGGTGGTGACCTGGAGGTGACCTGGACTAGACCATAATTCTTTATAATCTTAACCCTTCAAAGAAGGAACGTCGACCGAAATTGAAGATCTGGCAACGGGATTGGGAGCTTTGGGAGCTATGGAGCTTTAGACCCAGAAGTGGGGGAGAGGAGAAGCACCAGAAGTGGAGGGCTCTGGGCCTACTCCAAATATCTGGTGTTTGGTGTCGTGATTCAGGGCACTCTCAGGTACAAGTAGCAAGTGATAGGGACTGTGCCCCAGCTTCACCCATTCATTCACACAATAGAATTCATACCACCCACCAACTATGACCATGCCCTCCGAGGGCGGGACGACGTTTCTTCTCTTCTCCTGCTTCTACCAACCTGGGAGGAACTGGGTCTTCCAAGCCCTCTGGTTGGCCCACTCCCATACTCCACCTGCCCCTCCCAGGGCTCCAATACTCCACCTGCCGATCCGCGTCCCAGAGGCCCAGCACACCTTTATTGTTCAGCCCTCGGGGTCGGTGCTGCTCGTTGCTCACCGCCCGGTCGATGGGAATATCTGCGAACTGCCAGAGGGAGATTCCTGCTGGCCGAGGCGTTCGGCGCAGCACCCAGCGTTCGGCGGGGCTCCGCGCTGCGTTCGGGGCAAGCAGTCGCAGCGTGCAAAGTCGACACGATGGTTCTATCCCGCCGGTGTCAGGATGGTTCTGTTTGGGTCACCAAACCAAGCAAGAGAGCACAGGCTCAAACACCACCCAAAAGCAAACACTTGGCCATATGAACCAAGTGCTCCGCACACCGACGATGAACTCTGCAAGCATTTCACATGACACCCTTTTGACATGTCACATGTCAAACTCCGCATGAGTTGTGGATCGCAAATGCATGCTGCACAACACTCCCCGGACCATGCGGCACATCTCGGTGAAACCGCGACTCCTGCAATCCCTGGGTTGTTGATCACTGCCTCCAGGTGAGTCTTGAGAAGCAAAGCTTGGTACTCTTCGGTCCACTTCCTTGGGTGGTCGAAGTACGCGCCTCGAGGATGGGACCAAAGAGTTGGTTGTAACACCGGACGGGGCTCATTCAGCCCCAAAAGCCAAGAGTACCATACTGCATCTGACTCAGGTCGCTCCTTGAACGGCCCCTGAACGCATGTCGGCCCAACAGCGTTCGGTCCCTCTTCATTGCCTCTGAGACTAACCAGCCTCCCCACGCTGCTGCTGGGCCACTGCTCCACCGGCCCACGAAAGCCAAAGAGCCCTCCAGCCCCCGCCTCCTGCCAGCGCACCGACCGAGCTCACAGGGAACACACCAAAGTGACGTGTGGTTTTTTTTCTGATCACTGGAGACACCCAAGCAATGGGTTTGGTGTTATATTTGGGTGTTATGTTATATGCACATCCACCTCAACTTCATGGTGTTGCGTGTCAACTTCCCCCACAACCCCTCCTCTCACCTTTCTGATTTTGCCACTCAGGCGGCAGCGGATTTGGTGTCCATAACTCTTAGGCCCAAGGTGATTCACCTCATCGGGGGCCACCTGGTCTGACACCAACACATACACTTGCAACGCATGGTTCTGGAACCTCTGGGACAAGTCCTCAGTCAACCACCCTTCGACATCCTTCTACCAAAACCACCACCAAACCACCGTGCTGGTATGTGCTGGCGGTTTTTGCAGCTCTTCGCCCGTTCCCCGTGCTGGGCTCTCCGTGATGAGCATGGGCTTCTGTGCATCCACGTGGGTGGACCACTGCTGGACATGCTCCCAAACATCTGGGATGCCCTCTACCTCCTGCGCAGCAGAGTGGGTGCTGCGGGCGCCGGACTAGGGAAGTCTGAAAAAGGGGTCCTTCAGGTTTGGCCCCACTGATTCCAACTCCACTGCAGAATCTTTCATCACTGAAGTGTCACTGCTTGAGATTGGGTGCGGTCGGCACGCCGCGGTTTACGCGACGCGACGGGCTCGCCTGGGGATCGGCGGGCTGCGTGGTGGGATACCACGCCAGGTACAGGTGGAACGCGTGGACGTCCACCGCCTCCAGCTGGCGATCCTCTGTCAGATCCCAAGAGTCCGGAGCCGAACCCCTCAAAGGGGGCGACAATGGACGTTTTGAGGTGATTCTGGGTGCTTCCATTCGTGCGACATCAACACTTGGCGCTCGATGTCTCAAACACCGGACATGAGATCCCCTGAGACTCAACCGCTCGGGTGGCGGACCCAAACCCAGGGCTGAAACCAGCACTCCTTGCCAGGGTGGTTGGAGCCATAGCCGATGAGACGAGTGTGGCCACTGTGCCTCGTGCAGTGGAGCAGGATGAACATTGGGCCAGGCAAGATGTGCTACGATTCAGGCCCTCCCGACCACGAAGTGCTCGGAGAAAAAAAGAAAAAAGTAGAGCGACCCTCTCTCATTGCACCCTCTTGGGGCCCGGGTGGTTCTTTCTTTCACGTATATGACTGACAAGTGGGCTTTTCAGCCTGTCGCTGTAGACACGGAAATGGTTGGTCGAAAGAAACATCTCGAAAGCCTATAGAGGTCCACTTGGTTTTTTCTTAGTAGGGGCGCCACTGGGGCCACAGCAAAAAGTTTCAAAAAATGTATGCAGTTGTTTTCAAACGATTGAAGCTGGATGCTGATGGCTTTCTGAGATGTATGAATTGTTATGAATTGTTTCTTGTTTAAAAAACATGCAATCCAAATTAATTAGATGATTATAGTTTGTTAACACCAAAAATGCACCAGCGATGCCGGTAGAATCTACCCGGTAGGCTGCAGTCCTGCAGCCAGGCATTTCGGTCCCAAAGATCCCACAAGACTTGGCAAGATTTTGGTGGTGAACATGGCCCCAGTGGGTCCCCGTACTAAGACAAACCGCCAGTCCAGTTCAACCTTTTTGAGGGCACCACGGGGTCAGTCAAGGAAATATCCGAAACTCCTTCATTCAAATGACCTGGATCTTCCACCAACCACCCAAAATGATGATCTGTTCCATTCTGTTCCTATCAAAATGGAGGTCCAATGGGTTCCAGTTCCAGGTGGCCCTGGCACTTGGGAAGTCGGACTTAGGACTTTCAAGGCCGCACCAAAACAAACCTTGTCCGCCTAGTCCTCCGCCTGGCCGAGGGCCATGCTGAGGGCCATGCCTCCTGAGCTGCGAGGCCATGGCGTGGTAGATGGTGCGCGTGGCCTCGCTGTCATCGAAGGACTCGCCTTCGTTGAAGAAACCGAAGAAGATGACCTCGGATGGTTCCGAAGGAATCCGGAGAGTTCCGGAGAAAGCAACCCACCAGGTGTGAGAATGGTCTGTTGAAGTTGCTTCAGGGCGCTTGAGGTTGCTTGGTCACCTACTCCAGGCCTGAAAAACAAGTGAACAGGCACAGGGTCGGTTCACACCTTGGCTGTAGGTGGGCTCCCAGCCGTTCACCTGCGTGGCTCGCAGCAATAGAATCTGCTGTTCTTGCTGCATGTTCAAAGGCTCAGACTCTGAGAGCCCCCCTTTAGTGCCACAAGCTGCCCTCACTGCAACAACCGGTTTGTGGAGAATCCCCTGTTTCTCAAGGATTTCATGGTCTTAAAGCCCGGAAGCCATTGCCCACCACGTAATCATGATTGGAGCCTCACCCTCCTGGCATCCACGCAGCCGAGGGGTGGTTCACGGAGGCCACCGCCATCTCCTTGGCCATGCCTCGGACGGAACCCGAAGCCGGAACCCACCCGACGGGCAACACTGGGCATCCAAAAAGGAAATGGATCGGAGGCTGCCCAAAGGGGTGACGCTTTGTTTGTTTAGACGTGCGGAAGGACATTGAGTGGAAGAGAGCAGAAAGCGAGCCGTCTTTTCCGGAGTGCATGCGGATCGTGAGCGTGCTGTGAAGTAAGCTGGTGACTTGCTGAGTAACAAGCCCCTCCATTCTGGAGCAATGAATTGAGTGACTTCCAATCAGAAACCGCAACCCAGCAGCACAGCACAGGAAATGCAAGGGGAGCAGCTGCAAAGGACAGCCGACCATGGCGTGTACAGCAGAACCAACCCGAAGTGCACGTGAGTGAGTGCAGGTGAATGAGTGAGTTAATAGGTCTAACCGAGCGGACGAGTGAAGAGGCAGAAGGGCGGAAGGCGCAAAAATACGAAGAACCCACACCAGAAACATGGGAGGAAAAAGACATGTATACCATGAGTCTCCAAAAATGTGTGTTCTTTTTTCTGCGTGTTTGTTTTTGGTCAAAAATGTTTGCCGTGTGTGCTCGAAAAGCGGCGTTTTCAGAGATGAGGACTCAACAAAAAGGTACAGAGTGAATCTTCCTCCGGACGCGTCCGGCACGGAGTCTGACACGACGCCGTTAGTTGCTCACGCCGAGTCTTAAGGTCTCAGGACACGGAAAGGTCGGATCTGACACTGCACAATCCCCCCAAAAAAAAAGCAAACAGTTCGTGACATATGCCCAAAAAAAAGATAAAGTGTTTTCTTTCAGACACCTCTTTTTCTTGGAAAGGCGACTGTAAAAGGGTCATTGGAGACTCAAGGTACTCATGAAATTCGTCTTCGTTTCCATGTCGAATTGGGTACAGTAACACGTCCAGCCGCATGCGAATGTGCACACTAGGTGCACCAACCGGTGCACCGCCAGAATAGCAAAGAGGCGAAGGGTTCGAAGGGTTCGAAGGATCTCCGCCCCACGTCGTTCGTCGCTTCGTCGGGGGGCGAAGGCTTTGCATCACAAAGGTCGGGTTGTGGAAGTCCTCCACCGTGTTTTGCCAACCGAGCACCTCCTGACGATCGTCGTCGGTTCGGGGGGCCGTTCGGGGCTTCAGCGGCCCGGGCTCGGTTCTGAGGTTGGTTGAAGTCTAGAAAGGCGAACCGAGCCCAAGACCCGAGACCCTGGACCTTGTAACTATGCAACATGGTGCGCATAGTTAAGCTGGTTTCGCAAGCACAGTTGGACTATGGTATCCCGGTCCCTAACGAAGTCGCTGCCTCCTTTTTAGTGATTTGAGTGCTTGGGAAAAAATATGCAAAGCGCTCTGACATGTTGCCAAAACTCCAGGGTGTAGCATAGACAATAGTGGCTCTTTAAAGTAGCTTGGATGATGATGGCTAGTAAGTTGGTAAAAGGCCTCTCTCTAAATTAACATCTCAAAATCAATCATAATCGTTGTTCACCGGCTGTTACTACTGGGTCACACCCAAGGTAATAGACTAAAAGTAACTAAAGTACATTCCTAGTGTTTCTCCTGCCGGCCGTGAAGCTGTTTCACGGGCCACCCGTTAAACCGTCCTCCCAAACGAGGAGCCCATGCACATCGCAGAGGTCCAAGAACCGCGCGTCTTGCGCGTAGTGGGCGCCGCGCACGAAGTTGGCGCCCAAGCTCAACAAGATCTGCACATCTGCCACCAGCTGCTCGTAGGCGAGCACCTCAACCGTCCAAGAGGCTTTTGGGGATCAATCATGGCGGATCAGTGTGGTTCTCATCAGCATCGTTGAAGTTTGACGGAATAGGAGAAAGACTTCACCGAAAGCGCGTCACCTGGGTTACTTCGTGTTTTTTCCTGTTCCCCCCCCACTCCACTCCACTCCTTGCAAGTGTGCGCCGCCCAAACCACCCAAGAACCGCACGAGGCGCCGGCGAATCGGTCAGGTCATGCCGGTTGAAACCTCGGGTGCGCCGACCGAAAAACCGATGGTCGAAGCACCGATCGGAGGAGTCCTCCCAAACAAAAGACCCAGCTTCACCAGAGCCTACAGGGTCTGCAGAGTTCAAAAGTTCACCAGACCTTCTTGAGTTTCTAGGGATCCAGTCGTACCTTCTCGGAAGGTATGACTGGACCCTCAAAACCTACATAAGAGTGTCTCCTTCCTCACCGTACCTGAGATGGTACTTGGATTTCTAGGGAGTTAGTCATGAGTCAACATCCAGGCCGGCCGACCGATGCACCAAAACGCCGGTCGGAGCTCCAAGCCTTCCTAACCCCCCATGGGTTCTGCGGTTGGCCACTCGACGGGGGAGGATCCATGGGGATTCCATGCTTCGTCCAACAAAGGCTCCATACAAATACAAAGTCGCAACAGCGCCTAGGGCCTAGGGCCTAGAACATGTAGTGTGAGTAAGCTGTGAGTCAAAACATCCACCAGAACATGGTGTAGGTTGACATCCCTCAACGTGAGGAACCGGTGCTTTTGCCGGTGCCAGAGAGCCTCTGACTGGCCATGACCACCGCCCGACGGCTCGAAGAACGAAAACCTCTGCCGACTCCCTGGAACGTTGGTGGTCACAGCCCGAGCCGCCCAGCAGTTTCATGGCGCGTCCATTCACGTGCACCTCCTGGCCCTTGGTGGTCACCGTGCGAAGCCCAAAACGGACCACCACACAGTCCAGCACCAGGTGGGTCCTAAGTCAGCACGCGATGTTTGGTCTAAAACCGGCGGAAAGGACATCCTCAAACGAGAAATGGCTCGAAAACGGTGTTCAAAGAGTTGGAATGGTGGTCTTGGACTTGGACTTCGGTACTGCACACGTTGACGACCAGGACGAAGACTGCGCGTCCTTCGGCAGCTTCATCACCGGATCTCGCTCCCTCCTTGAACAACCTCCCAAACCCTGTCACCTCGGGGGTCATCCTGTCACTTGCCAGGCGAGCCGGAGAGAGAGAGGGAGAGAGGGAGAGAGAAAAACGGCCCCATTTAGTACGGCCCCATTCCAACCTTCGCCTTCTTCGCCTTCGCCTTCCCACCCCCCCTCCGCAGGTTCGCAAGCGGTGCGTCCCCAGCGTCGGGCTGAGCATCGCGACCGTGAGCCGATGCAGCGAGGGGCTCTCAGGAGACCAGGCTTGCCCACCTGGCACCGATCGGTGTGTGAGTGACTTGAGCTGAGTGGGTGGGACTGAGTGACTGTGAGTGACGCGCGAAGAGAGCAAAAGTAGGGTTCCACTCATCCACTTCCAGATGGATTCTAATTCTGGACAACTTCTTTGCTCATTTGCAGTTTCAAAGTAGACGGCACAAACCCCAAGAGGTGGTTTATATGGACCATCCCCATCTAAAGGATTCTAAAGGTTATCTTGGGGTGTCAGTGCCAGCTACTCATTGAAACCACGTGTAAATGCCACACATCGGCACACATCGCCCACACCGGGCGCCCTCTTTGCTCCCCGAACCTGGCACTGGCAGGTCCTTCAGCTCGTGCTCCATCTGCTCCCAAGCCTCCGTGCCCGCGCAGCTGGGCGCTTCATCCCAGCGGTAGCGATAGCTGAGCCCTGAAGAAAGAGCTGCGCGGCAATCTGAACCGTTGGTGGCCCGTCTTCAGGCCAAAAAATGTGAATAGTGATCAGTGATGAGTATATCATTTGTGATATGTACAATCAATACGCGTGTATTTTATAGATATATCATATATCTGTGTGTATGTATATATATATACACTATCTATATATATATTACACAATGGGTACACTACTCAGCTGCTTGTCGCCTGCAGGAGCCGCTGGCTCCGAGAGCTCCAAGAGGACGTCCACCGTGCTCAAGGAGCGAGGATAGACCTTCACAGGGCAGAACTCCATTGAAGTTGCGGAGTGAGCAATGCTTCATCAGGAGTGATGAAGGTCACCGCTGTGCGCGCACCTAATCCTTCACGATTCACCTC